TGAAGTTCAAGGAAGAATTCAGCTCATATCATCCATGTCATGTATGTATAATAATTCATAATTACAGTTAAAAATGTCTCATTCTGTATAATTTCTTTTCTAATACATAAAATACATAAAATATGTATGTCAACATTGCGTGTTGGCCTTATTAAGCTCCAGAGTAGTTACATCAAATGAAATTCATTCATCTGAACTGTTTTCATATTTAAATTTCTACAAATAGATGTTTTTGTATAAATGACATCTACGGTTCCTCCCCCAGGGAAATTTTGAGCATCAGACCCTTCATTTCCTGCATTCTGGTGACTCGTTGTGCATCAGTTTGTTTCTCTTCTGCATCATTTCATGAAAGAAATGTTTAGTTATATTAAGGGAAACACAAAAATCAGGCGCCATAACAGCTGAAGATATGCTGGTGTATAACGCAATGGAAATCTCTGCAATTCTTTATTGTTTTCAAAGACGTATTCTTAACTATCTTAGCCCTATCCTATTTTTGCCTGATCCAGATGTTAGATCACATGCTCAGAGTCCTGTCTTTATTTCAGATTAGTTTTGGTCTGTTGCCAAACCAACATGATAATAGTTATCCTGACTGAAGCGGTGTTCTTGGTGTGTGTTCTGCGCTTTAGAAGCTGCAGTTCCAGCAGTCTAAAAGAGATTCACAGTTAGCAGTGCTGTAACTTTACGGCTGGGCATCATTTGTGATGTTAGCGAGGTACAGTCTAACAAATTGCACATATAAAACTCATTCCCCTGACAGAGAATTTATATTGCTTAAAACATGCTGGAAATAAAAGAATCAGTAAAAATGTGACCCTTCCAGCATCAGCATAGGCTACTACGGTTATTTAGCCAGAAATGAGAGATGCTTTCATGATACTGAAGGCTCTGGCTTTAAGTTTGACATAGCTCACTAAACTACGAATCTTGCATCATAGTTTAGCCCTCAAGAAATGTGAAAAAAAGTCATAAAAAGGAACCAAAAACAAAGACAAAGAAGGAAGCACAGCCGACCAAACACTAAAACTCCAGAAAAACTATAAAAATGAAACAGCACCAGTCTCCCAGGCACAGTTTACACAGTTACTGCATTTCATGCCAATCATCTGGATAAGCCACAGATGTTCTGGAAAAAAAAATAGGTGTGGACAAATTTATGTAAGCATTAAGGCATATTTAGGAAAAAGGTAATAAAATCTTTAAAAAAAAAAAAAAAAAAGTGTGTTGAAAAGATGTTTGCATGTGGTGTTGTGTTATTACCAGTGGTACAGGAACATCTACGGGGATAGAGAGTAGACAGGATTCCACTAAATCTGGATGCAAATGTCATGCAGTCAGTTAATGTGGAGCTAAAAAGAGCATCTCTGCAACCTCAAAATCCACAATGAACTTTTAAATGGCACTTACAGCCCTCAGATTTGTGTAGGCAAGACTTGTCTGCTTTCTTATGAAATATGTAGCCTAACGTGCTTTTTACTCTTGCTGTAATGGTTTTGCAGACTGTGTAAATGATAAAATCTTTTGAAAGGCAAGCCATTTCATTTAGGCTGAAGGAGCAAAAACACAAAATCCAAAACAAAGTCAAAACGAAATAAAACCACAAAATCCACAGGGCTACACAAAGGAACTGTACCAGAGAGGATAAGAGATGCTGCAATAAACAAGAGGAGAAGACAGGTTTCAGGAATGGCAATCACAATCACATAAACTCACAATACACTGGAATAAAAAAAAACAGGGATTCAAAGGCTCCACAAAGAAAAACATCTAAAGTTTAAAACACCAGTGAAACAGAAACCCAAAGTTAAATATTAAGTAAGAATACAAAATTACACTGAATCCATCTATTTGTTTGGTTGTTGCTTTTTAACCACAATACAATACCCTCTTCTTTTCTATTGATTTGTTTCCATTTTCTGCCACTTATCCAGATCCAGGTTGCAGGGGCAACAGTCTAATCCAGAGGTAGGCAACTCCAGGCCTCGAGGGCCAGTGTCCTGCAGGTTTTAGATGTGTCCTTGATCCAGATGACAGATGATTTAAATGGCTAAATGACCTCCTCAACATGTCTTGGAGTTCTCCAGAGGCCTGGTAATGAACTAATCATTTGATTCAGGTGTATTGACCCAGAGTGAGATCTAAAACCTGCAAGACACCGACATTCGAGGCCTGAAGTTGCCTACCCCTGGTCTAAGCAGTGATACCGTGACCTCCTTGTCCCCAGCCACTCCTCCGAGGGACAGTAAGGCATTCCCAAGCCAGCCAAGAGACATAATCTCTCAAGTGTGTCCTGAGCCTACCCCAGAGTATATTCCCAGTTGGACATGCCCAGAAGACCTAACCGAGGAGGCATCCAAGAGGCATCCTAGTTATGTTCCAAAACTGCCTCTAGTGCAGGGGTGTTGAACTCCAGGTCTCGAGGGCCAGTGTCCTGCAGGTTTTAGATCTCACCTTGGGTCAGCACACCTGAATTAAATGATTAGTTCATAACCAGGCCTTTGGAGAACTTCAAGACATGTTGAGGAGGTCATTTAACCATTTAAATCAGCTGTGCTGGATCAAGGACACATCTAAAACCTGCAGGACACCGTCCCTCGAGGTCTGGAGTTCGACACTCCTGCTCTAGTGTGTGGGTATGCAACTCCAGGCCTCAAGGGCCTTTTGTTATTGAGGAGTAGAAGCTCTACTCTGACTGAGTTCCACGCTGGGCAACAACACACAATACTTAAACATACTGAAGAGTAAAAGTTTTCATATTCACTAATAAAATCCTAAAACATGACCACTTCATTACATTTCCATTTACAGCACATTTATTAAATTGCACTGAGCATCATTACATTACACAGTCGAAATCTATAGAATGACTGCTGGCCTGCTCCATCCTTGTTTTTGTTTATCACACGTCTGTCACCGTCATGCTCCAGTCAACCACATATAGGTATTGCTTAAACACACATAGGCGCACGCACAAAAACACACAAACCAGAGAGGCAGAGTAAATATGTGTTTTGTCGATAACTGTCCACCAGAGCAGACTCACAGCATTGCTGATGTGCTGACTTCAGGACTTCAGTGCTTCACTTTTGCTGAGATAAAGAATTTGGGCCAGTTAAATCTTATCGTTGTCTATTATGTGTGTGTGTGTCAGTGTGTGTGTTCATTCATGTTGTAGCGCACTAAGAGTGACTGCGCACGCTGTCTTCAGAGGCTCCTGGTTGTTAGCTGGTTATGTTATTTTTACCTGATATTACCTTTTTGTTGCCAGATGTTGTTCACAAATTTAGGCATATGCTGTCAGCAACACACACATACACGCACACCCTCAGCAGAACAAAAGCACATTAGTGTATTAGCAAAGCAGCTTTTCTCTTTTTTCAGGCTGAGGAAGGAGGTGCTAATACACAACAATCAGAATGTCCATTAACAGGATGTGATCCTGCATGTGGATTCACTTACGGTTTGAGCTAAGTTTTAAAAAGGGTTTTAACTCAAGTAATTGTGTATTTGTGTGTGGATATGCACAAAAAATGTCACAGTGGTTTGCTTTATATCAGCAGTGATACAGAATAAAAATAATCAAGTCTTAAAGAGAAAATTGGTCTGAATATGTATTTTTCACATAGACACAGAAGACTGCTGTCCTCTGGCACTGTTTGATCAAAACATGAAGAAAACAAGTTTGAGAAAATGTTCACCACATTAGTGTCACTGTAGCAACTTTTGAAATGTATAAAAATACTTGGGCCACTTTCTGTCAACCTTGCCTGCCCCCTTTCTGAGTACAGAAAACCTCCTTTTATGTTATACTGTCAGGGCTCTGCTTGAGAATGTCAGCCATCCCATCTACAAAAGCAAAGAAAACCCACTGTTTTTCACCTCCGCTCTCTTACGTTGAGTGCTTCTATTACTTTTACCCTGAAGTGCAAAGCTCCTGCTGTCAGTTTTCAGCTCAGAAGAAGTCTGGACAGGCAGCTGAATCCTGTTCTGTAAAGTAAAGCCTTGGTTATGATATGAAGGTTATGAAAGACTCAGTGTAAAATGATGTTTGGACATATTTTCACAGCTTGTGGTTATATTATACCTTTACCTGCAAGGTAACATATGACATACTAATGTACATGGGTGTAAATAATATTTGTGTAAATGAGTTACTGTCAGGCATGAAGGCATTTTACATTATTTAAACTGCAGGTGGGGTCATAATAGAAAAAAGGTACTTTGTGTTTTGTGTTGCCCAACTAATTCAGCAGGCAAACATGGTGTTACACGTGATTTGATAGGCCAATGTGCAAGTAGGGGTGAAATGTCAGCAGGCACAGAGAGAATGTCTCCTGTAAGGGTTTGTATATTGTTGTACTCTGTTGTGAACATGGAAGTACAGCTCAAATCCAGCTCAAAATTCCCAGAGCTCGTCAATCACAGCGTGAAGGCGGTGTGATTTTAGTTTAAGTTCTGATGACATTTCTAACAGCATACATTAGACTACTGGCTTTAACAACAAACCAAGTCCATACAGATTTTTATTTGTTTGTATTTTTTATTCTCTGACATTTCCTTCCCTGACACCATGACAAGGAAAGAATGAAATCTGAAATCACCTAAACCAAATTACAGTTTTTATCAGTAAATTTAACCAAACTACAGTAAATATCTGATGAAGTGAGAGTGGAAAACTTATCCCAATTAAGTGTAAATATCATTGTTCTCGTGTGAGATCTGACCAATGTGAGTGACTTACAGAAAATAAACCAAATATGAATAATAACCGAAAATGAAAGTCATACTTACTATATTTGCATCCAATGTATTTTGACTTCTAACCATCACATTTTGAAATGTCTTCTACTAGAAAATCCAATCTAAGAAGTGACCTTCTAGCAAATGGATGAGGAAACAGCACAGGTCAAACTAAAGTTGACAGCATTTTTTATTCAACATATTGAATTTGAATACAGTCAGTGTCAGATCATTAACATATAACATGGTGCAGCTACAGGTTTTTAATCTTCTGGTGTCCAACAAAGGTTTAAGGCAGTTAAAAAGTGAAGGGTGGAAATGAGCTGTTGGACAGGGAAACAGACACACAACTAGAATTAATGTTGTCTTTTCATATGAAATAAAATGCGTGATGTGTACAGCACTCGCTCCATCTGTCACATCTATTTGAAATTTCATCCATATTTTCAAGACTTCTATCAATATTTCTCAAACTCTGTCAGGCCTTGTGATTGTGGAATAGAAAGACAGACAAGAAGAGAATACACAAGCATGTGAGAAAAAACACAATGAGAGAAACCAAGAGCAGAACACACATTTCTCAAAATAAGACACTGCATTAGAGTTACAACGTTACTTGGGAGGTGGATTGTGGAAATGAAACACAGTGCTCTGAAGTGGAACAGGAAAAAGACAGAAAGAGAAATGGTGCGTTAATACTTCCACAAAGACAAAAGGTGGGCAGAACAAAATCCTCTTCCTATTACAGTAAAGGCTGATGTAGAGAAAAAAGAAATTATGTTCCGCTTTTGTACCACTGTTATAAATGTTCATACAATTTTCATATCAGCGATGCTGGAGAGGAGAGGCCTCATTGGAGCAGCAACATGGGAGAAAAACAGTCACAGTTAAAACCTTAAACACTTTCATCAGCAGTGCAGTCAGTCCAAAATGAAACAGGGACTGCAAATCATCTATCATTTTCATCACCTTTGTGTTTTTTACATTGTACAATTTTCTGGAACAACTGTCCACAGGCACTGTCTTCATCATCTTGGCAGAAACTGCTCGACTTTGAGGGGTAGAGTTTCTTCGATGAAGGTGGGGAAACGCACAGGCAAACGTTAAGCAACTGGTTTGATTCCATGTTCATTTGAAGTTCATCACCGGATGGTTATGTGTCAGATTTAATCATTAGGAGTAGATCACAGCCAGACATTGTAATGCTTCTCAAAGTTGCAGTCACAGAAAACCTAGAAATCTCCATATCTACAGGGAGAAAAACACACAAAGTAAAGCAAGTGTAGATGAAGATATACCTGAATCCTACAAATCACCCGGTGCATGAATGCTGTGCTGTGCGTGAACTATCCTTTATGTTTGTGTGTGTGTGTGTATGGGTTCTTACTATCTTGGTGGAGACCAAATGTGAAATTTACTATACTGATGGGGACCAAAATCCAGGTGCCCACGGGGTTGAAGGCATTTTTCACACTCAAAATGTGGTTTTAGTGTCACGAAATTGTTATGTCAATGGGATGTCCCCATGAGAATAGGAAACCAGACATGTGTGTGTGTCAATGAGTGTGTGTGTGATAGAAAAAAGCATGTCACACAAATAAAAAAAGGGGGGGGATGGGACATTTCTGGTATGTAAAGAAAACTGACAGTTTCTTTTATTTTTAGAATTTTAAATACGAGCCCATGCCAGGCTCAAACATGTGTTGCTCTGTATGTTAATGTGTATTTCACAGTGTGTATGACTCACTCTGTCTCATCAGCAGTGGGCGTGTTATAGCTCTGGAACAGTGGCTGCATGAAGAGTCCCAGAGTTCCCACCACACACACCAAGATGAAGATCCACAGAAACAGACGGTCTATCACCATTGCTACGTACTTCCAGTCTTCTATGATCTAGAACCACATTAACAGATTCAGACCTTTGCGGTTAAGGTTTGTATGTTTGGGTCAAAAGAAAATCAGCTTGTTAAATCTACCTTTTGGCAGTTCAGTGTTTGTCACACCTAAACACTGTAAAGCAGGAATGTCAAACTCATTTTACATTTAAGCCACATACAGACCACTTAAGGCCAGTGAAACTCCCATTTCCGTCAGTGTAAACTTTTAATCCCTGAAATATTTCAATGCAGGAAAAAGAAGTGCAACTTCAACTACACAATAAAGAAATGCTGTTCTCTTTCATGAAAGAAATCTTTCACCACAACTCTTTGTGCTTAAATTGTAAAAAATAAATGTAAAATGACAGAAGACGTTCTGGTAGCTCATGACACAGACTGTCCTGTAATTATAAAGCAGAATGTTTTTGTTAATTTCCTATTTTATTTCATTATTTTACCATTGACATGGTGTGTAAAAAAACAAAGTTTCTATGGTAGCTAGTTGAAAAAACAAGAACTTTTCTGTCATTTATTTGTCTTTTACTTCATTACTTTGGTGTAGTATGAATGGCTGTGGGGTGGTTTTTATCACTAGGACTGTAAAATGTGTGGAAATAAAACCTATGCTCTCCTTCACATCACTAGACATCTAGTGGGCTGGATTGGAGTCTTTGACTGGCCGATTCTGGCCCCCGGGCCTTATGTTTGACACCCCCTGGAGCTATGGGTTAGCATGTCATTCAGAAAGAGTACAATTACAGATGCTAAGCATGTTTGTAATATTTATTAAATCTGTGAGGTTTATGATTTGTGCTTCAGTCAGTGTGTGTTTTACACAAAAGTATGTGGAGAGCTTTCTGATGATATTAGAAATGTCTATAGTAAAATATATAGCTGACAGATTCCAATTGTATGACAAGAGAACAAAAGCAAACACTGAGATATGGCTCGTCTCACATCTGATTTTGCCCTGGTAATCTTTCCTTTCCACCTTGTCGCTTGTCTGACATCATGCATCTCCATAATCTGTTTTTGTATGGCTTTCCTTTCCTCTTTATGTCTCTGCAAGAATATATTTTATCTTCTATTCCTTTCAATTTTTTGGTGTCGCCCTATCTCCCCTATTCATCATTACCTATCAATTTTTTTCTTACCCCTTCATCATCGTCTTCTGTCTTCATGTGCTCAGCTATGTATCTCACTCCATCCACTGCCTCCTCCAGATCTGCATCTAACTGATTGGCCAAAGGCCTCTGGAAGTCTGAAAAGCCACCACCACCATCCGGGATGTCACCAGCCGTCCAGCAACACCGCTGCGCCAAATCCTCATTCACGTAGAAAGCGTCGGCGTCGGTTCTGATCCCACAGAGTCTGATGTTTGAGTACTGCTTTTTGTTTGTGCTGCTTTGGGTGTTATTTTTACAGACAATACTCCGACTGGTGTATTTCCGGCGCAGTTTATCACGAACATTGGAAGAGCCTGGACGCCTCATGAGGAGGAAGGTAGGTAGACGGACTAAGAAGAGCCGTTTGACCCAGTCAGGCATGTAGTGAGTGGACGGTGAGCGATGGTGCACGTTGAGGACGCAGACGGTGCTTACAATCGAGAACGTGACCAGCACCATGGTGAACATTAAGTATTTACCTTTAACAGAATGAGACACAGAAAAATGATCAGATGTTGTCATTTACCAACACTACTTCATGTCAGTCATGTGTTATTCAATAATCAAATAATAGCTGGGTCTCAAATAACAACCAGCAGCATCTCTAACACGTTTTTAATAAAGACTGTTTTAAAAGGCTAACTGGAAGGTGTTAATATGCAATACTAAGCCATTTTAAATTCAAAATGATGAAAAAATATATTAGAAATTAAAATGGTTTATAGCTAGAATAAAAGTACATCAAATATAATTTAAGAAAAAGAGAAAATAGAATAATAAAACCAATTTAAAAATAGTAAGGTTTGATCAGTCCAGTCATTGAAAACAAATAAATAAAATAATGTAATGCTAAGTAAAAAACTACAATTTTAAAATGGTTATAAAAGTAGATATTATTTAAAACAAAGAGTGGTGATAGCTTTCACTTTCATTTGCACCAAAGCAGGTGAAATACATTTGCATGACACTGGGGTGTGCTTCCCAGATCGTGTTATACTATTACAATTAACCATTTCCTTCATTTTTTTGAATGGCGCAGTACTCTGCTAGAATGAAGTACATTTCATCACTTTCAGCTGTTTGGTTTCCCTTATACTGTTCCATTAGTGTTCCTACTGAAATCTCCAAAAGCAGTATATTAATGTTAAGCGCAGGTACACGTATAACACTAGTAATTTAATGGGTTGAACTTAAACATTTATTATCTGGTGAGTCTTCGTGTTCACCGGAGTGAAACTGTCCATAATCTGAGCAGCTGCCTCTTCAGGCAGCTATAATATTTTTCACTTTTTTTTAATTTCCTTGTGTTGACTTTGTGCTGAGGTTGTAAACAGCATAATAAAAAATTAGGTGAAGGGCAAGCAGAAAAAGGACTGACCTGTCATAAAGCACATTTACAAATCATATATGAAAAATGAAATGTGAAGACCCATCATTTATATAAGACTATTTCAAATGCGGTGTAGCGCTTTCAGTTGTAAATAAATGGCATTAATCCATAATTGAAAAACTACTTTTTTCTTGTTTTATGTTTTCTTACACACATCACCAAACTATTATATTTATATAAAGTGTCTGTACATATAGTAAAAACCCAAATATTCGTTGCCCTAGGCTACAAACTGTTGCAAATAGACAAATATGGATATGACTAACCTATGAGTGGCACTGCTAGAGAGGTAGGTGGCACTATCTTTGATATGAGCAGCAGGAACACAGTGAGTGCCAGCAGCACTGAGATGCAAAGCGTCATTTTCTCCCCACAGTCTGACGGCAGGTAGAACACCAGGATAGCTAATGATGTGATCAGCACACAGGGGATAATCAGATTGATGGTATAGAAAAGAGGCTTCCTCTTGATGACAAAATCATAGGTGATGTCCAGATAGGTTATGTCGTTGGGGTCCTCGTTTTTGCGTGCTGGGAGCGAGACGATGTCCCACTCTCCACTTGGAGTAAAGTCGTCACGGCTGGCGAAATCACTGGTGAGGATAAGATCTACTTCTGTGTGGTCGTAGGTCCAAGAGCGGAACTTGAGAGTGCAGTTCTGCTGGTCAAAGGGGAAGTTCTGCACCTCGATGGCACAGGCTGACTTGTAGATTGCTGGAGGGAGCCAGAAGATGTCCCCGGTGCTTGAGACCACAGCATTGCAATAGAAGGAAACCTCGTACACACCGTCAGCACTATAGGAGGTTTAGAAATAAAGGATTAAAGAGCGTTAAGCACATCAAATGAAGAGGAAAGAAAAATTAGAGTCTGACCAATACAGGATTTTTTTTAAACCAATACTAATACTAATATTTAAAAATCTAATAAATGGGACAACATTTATTTGTACTTTCTAGCATTTGTTATGTGTAGTTATTTAGGAGTGCCAAATAACTGTAAAATGTCAATTCTTGTAAGATGGTTCCTGGGGTGCTTCTTCCATTTATTCTTTACTTGTTTCATTTTCATTAATTTCCTAATAAATTAATATTGTTTGCGATACTTGTATATCAAAAAATAGCAAATATTTGCCCAGACAGTAAATTAGTTGGGCTCAAATTATTAAATGTTGCTTGGCATGTGGTAGAAGAGTTCTATGATAGCACAGGTCATGCTATTATTGTCATCAGCACTGGAATTATTCACATAACTCTATCCTACTAGCAATCATAACTATACACATGAAATTGCTAACTTCCCACAACGAGAGTCAAACCCGGGCCGCCTGGGTGAAAACCAGGAATCCTAGCCACTAGACCATATGGGAATGTTAATATAAAACACTAATAATAAAGAGAAACTGGGTTTGTGGAAATTGTTAATTACACAGCTCCCACTGAAATACTTAGCATTTTAGTAACAACGTGTAAAACATGAGTGGTAATGATCAAAAACCTCATAATATTAAGAACGGTTTAATAAAATAATGGTTTAGTCCATTCATACAAGGCCTCCACAGGAATTAGTTTTCCTGCTTTAAATTGATTTTTTTATAGTAAAAAAAATGTACAAATCACATAAATTAAACTCAGAAAAGCAGCCAAGTCTCTCTCGGTTGGGATCAAATTTGCATACTTACTTGTTATAGAGCACTATATCAGGAAGCCAGATAAGTTTGGAGGGTATTCGCAATTTCTTGATGCCTTCATATTTCTCAGGATCCCATCTCAACCTGTAGTCATTCCATTCCTGCAGAGGAGCCTTTGTTATTGTAACTGTAGCTATGACCAAAAAGACCAAATACTGACCATACAAGGTACTGTATAAGAACTGGGCAGCAGAGAAAAGACTGTAGGTACCTGAAACAGCCACAGGTTGGTCGTCATTATCTGTTCTCTCTCATTCTAAAAGCAAAGATCAGTCAGCTGTTAAAACTACATAATACTTTCCATAATGCTATTTTTATTTTGAGTAAAGGTCAAAGCAATAAATCAATACACACCTTTAATGAGTGCATGAAATAACACTAACATTTTGGAGCAAAAAACATTTATTTTTAAAGCCTGTTTTACAAATGCCTCAAAGGAAGGACTTACTGTGATACTAAGGTTAGCCTGTTTACTGGCTTGTCTTGAGATGAATGGAAAGGTTAGAATCAAAGTTGTCTGAGACAAATGGTGTTTTAAACCCTCTGGTGAGGCGCACGCAGCCATGGAGCCTAACATGATCATTAGTGAATATGATGAAAATAATGGCTTTAAAACCATATTCTGCAACACTTCAGTGGCTTAGGTGTTGTTCAAGCCGAGGAGCAGAAAGTAGTGCATTAAGTAATGTGAATAAGAAGCTTTTAGAAGCCCATGTCACGAGGTGAAGACCTTAAGTAAAGCTTAGTTGCAGTGACTTATAATAATAGTTCTGTGAAACAGAACAACAGGTGATCAAAAATTCTAAAAACTGAAATAATCCAGAAATGAATTATTCAGGTCACTTATTAACATTTTACAATCCAACCATAAAGAAATATATCCAAATGGTAAAACAAATAGTTTGGAGAAGAGAAGCATAAAACATCACTTGTCGAGCACAGGGCTAACTCAAAGAGACAGATAAATTGATTCAGACCTTCACAATTACAGGCAATTTAAAGTTGCCACTTCTATTCTACAACCTAGAAGCCTCTGAACTGTGACAGTGTCATGAATTATTATTAAGTTATTATTATTACATTATAATGTCAAATTAATTCTGCTCTTTTCTTTAATATTTATGTCGCTATTTTCCTTCTTAAAGGAGACTAACGGAGCATTAAAGCACTACTTAATGGTTACATAGTCACCACATAATAATTATAAAAACTTCTGTAATGCAATTAAAGGTAGAGTTTGGTGTTTAAACAAAAAGATGAATACTCCTAAAAGAGAAAAGAGGAGAGAAACAAAAGACTGCACATCCATACAGGTGCTCTAGCTGATTTCAAGACATAAATAGTTTAGAATAATCCTTTTTTGTGACACATGTATATAAAGGGATGCATGACGGCTGATTTTGGATTCAGAGTCCTGGTACTGTGTACATACAGACTCATATTCATAGCTTCTTGAGACATATAAATAGAACAGATGCTTTATTAGCCTTTATGTCTTTAGCAAGCACCTGTGTAAATGATCCCCTGTGAAAAGCCCTACTGAATCAATACGTGGGAACATATGATGTCACAAAGCTCTACAAACTAATAAAGATCATGCCGTAATCAAGCTGCCACCTCCGTAGCAGGGATATGGTGAAATGCAAACTCCTCAATTCAAATAATCCAGAAGTGAGTCAATCCCCATGTTAACACTTCACTTGAATCACATCAAATACGAACTGCCAGTAATGGGTTTTGATTGCGTCAAATTAAATCGTCACAAGCCCAATTTTTCATTTATTTCAGGTAACGGTGTTTGAGCCCAGTACACTCTGATGCATGATAATCTGGATGCAGTTTGTGTGTACTCACCACACTGATGAGCTGAGACAAAGACACCTGTATGGAGACGGTGACCTGCTGGCTCTTATTGACAGCAGGTCTGATTAGTTTATTGTAGTGCTCTGGACCTAAAAGGTAGTTTACCAGGCGCTCCTCTGCATTCTCTGCCCAGCTGCCTGCAGAGAAAATACAGAATATTGAAAGAAATCCAATTAATCAAAGTGCTTTAAACATAAAATGAATCTATTTAAAATATGTAATATTATAGACATGATTACATGGAACTCCACTGCCTGAAAAGGCAGAGGCAATAACTAATGTCATTCATAAAGGCCATGTGTTTGCCCTGTGGCGATTCACAGCCACTGGTAGGTGTGTAGTGTATCTTTGTATCCTGGGTGTGCAAGTGTCTGTTTCTGAAAACAATGTCTGTTAACAAAGTAAATTTACCAGGGGGCATTACAGCTGAATCACGTGTTATCGGTTAAGTGTGAGCATGTGTACATCTTGCAGTCTGACACTTTACTGCAGGGTTTTAGAGCACAGAAACACACAAGGCTCCAGTCAAGCATCCCGGTGAGACAGCCCTGAAGCTTTATGTTTCCTGAGCCCTAAATTATTGGTTATATAAAAGTAATTGTATGAATAAATCAGAAGCAAAATGCTCCAGCTGCCATTATATCCACATTGTCAAACAAACTGACAACAGCGCAGTGAGGATTGGTTATCTGGACCGCTTCCCTCCCTGTAGCACATGAGTTGTCTGTTTTTGCAAGATTGCATGCAGTGCAGGCTGTGTGAGCATGGATGTTCTTTTTTTTAGCAGCACCCTGCTGCTTCAAGTTTTCATGTCAGAGTGAACATCAGTGGTTTCAGCTGAAGAGAGGCAAGTGAGTCTCTTAGAACTAAATGAGAAATCTTTAGCTCTCAGTTTATTTTAACTTCAGAGGATAAATGGTCTGCCATCAAGTAAGAACCTCAAGTATCTCTTTATGTAAGAGGAAAGCTATTTGTTAAAATGAAAGCTAAACCGCTTAATCACATTTATATTTCTTCTGAAGTGGCCCCAGCAGAGTTCAATACGATGTGTTAAATGTATGAACGTGCATAGAAATGTTTAGATTATACGCCCAGCAAATTAGGCTGTCATTAAAGTAGCTATACGAGAACAAATACTGTATGTAAATATAAATCAAGTCGATACCAAGTTTTTCATTTTAACAGAAGATTTGAATAGAAGTTAAAAGGAAAAAAGCAGTAAATGTATTAATATTGCAGTGCTGCTCTGGTATTATTTAACAACTTATTGTCAAAAGTTACCACATGTAAATCTCAACAATAAATATGGAGCTTTAACAAAAGGTCACCTTGCTCAGGTTTGCATGAAGAAAAGGGAAAACAAAGGAAAACGTCTATCAAAAGACACCAAAATGCAGCAGCACCCTGAAGCTCATTTTGTTTAATCTGTTTTACAAGGTATTCCCTGACTGTTTTATGGATATTTCAAAAATGGAAAACTCCTACTCTTTGAACCTCTGGCAAGCGATATAGCTCAATTTTCAGATTTTTTTTTTTTTTTGCACGATTGCAATGGAATACCTCTCTGTAAGTACTGGAGATGTTATGCATCATGATCCACTTTATGGTGCTGGCATTTTGATTTCATGCATCTAACAAGTAGCAGAGAATTTCTTGCCGTGGCAAACTGATAGCATTCATAATCGACCACCGAAACCAGCTGGAATTTGTTACAGATCGTTAGCTTCATAGCATAATTGCCTAAGTCATTTGACTAAGTCAATGACTTAGGCACTTATGCTATGAAGCTAACGAGATGCTTCTGTCTTGATTTAACCATATTCCCAACATCTGTTGTAGTTACTATCATTTGGAACGGGAACCATTGAGGTAGGATGACTTATTGTAAATCCTAAATTGACACACATTAGCGGAATGCTAGTGTTGTATGGGCAAAATGGGTTTCCCTAAAAGAAAACGTATGTCTGCTAAAACTGTAACAGGATATGAGCATTTGTTTTGAAACAGGTGCTAATCATTTTTAGTAATTTAGATTCACTGAATCTAATTAGTTGAGGAACTCACAAGCACTCTCTGGCCAAATTGCAGCCAATTTCAGCATAATGACATAAGTAGGAAGTGAAAAGGCTCTCCACGGATGGGGTCTCACCAGGATCATTAACTTCCTGGAGTCTCTGACAGGATTTAGTGGGCAACATGCATTTTTTTATGCATGCACGATCAATTGTTGGGGTAATAAGAGTGAGATAATAGCTGCTGCATTCACTAGTATTTACTGTGGTACTGTACTTGTGCAACATTGCTATTCAAACTGAAGCAACAGAGATATTCTTTGTTTCAAGACGTTTCACTTTCCTGTCAAAGGATGGCAGATCAAGAGGATGATACTAGATGTAAGTGACTAAAGCCTCAAACCTATTATGGAGCAATAAACTCTTCTCAGTTTCCTTTTATAAAAAATATTTCAAACATCTAGTATGTTAAAAGTGGGACTGACTCGTGAAATTAGACTTGCGATTATGGCAGCATTAGAGTTTTCACATTCACAAGTATGGAAGGCTTTACTTCAAGGGGGTAGCAGTGACTTATCACTCAAGAGTAACCCCCCCCTCCCCTTTGTTGATACCTTTTATATTAAGAACAGCTTAGCTACCAGTAATCTGCAGTGATGAGACTCATTAAGATTAAAACACTGACGCTGTGATGGAAGACTGGTGCCACATATCATTGCATAGTACAAGTCCAAGTCAAATCTTTAGGCCTTCAGAGAAATGCAACCACTCACAACAACATGGTGGAAGACACAGAGAAGTGCTATGCCGCTTCTCGATGTTTTACAGCCTTTAAATCAGTTAAAGCTCAATTCCAGGGTCTCCTGCCTTCTCTTGATGGATGCTGCAGACTAATCCTTGACTATGTTACATGCCACAGCTGATCTTTGTCAGAGTTTGTAAGAGAAAATCTACAGATTGATGGCTCAGCTTTTTGGTTGTCTTCATTCTTTTTGGAAAACATTATTGTATTTTAGGTCTAGCTTAAACGGTAAAGCGTAACCTACAAGCTTAACCAGTTTTACATGTATCCAATGCACCACTCTCTGAAATAAAAGCTAAAATCAAGGTCAGGTAAGTAAGAGGAAGTTTTTCTTTTAAGGCAGTGAGAGATCCACATTTTGCCTAAAAAACAGTAGATGGTGCTTTCTTGGTGGTAGACAAAACATGGCTCTTATTTAATTATTCAAGGGCACATCTGCTTTTACTTATGGGTATTTTAAGAGTATGAACACCACCCACACTTTCTCAGGACGTTCTTGCAGAGTGCTGTTGTGGTTGCTTTAAATTCCTGTACTCAGAAACACAAATACACATCAAATACACCTCTTCTTCTTCTTCAGTTTTATAGAATCCAAATACAGAAAAGACAGATAATGTAAGATAATTGTAACTGTACCTTTCCAGGGAGGATGATCTGTTGATTATAGATACAGTATATGGACAATATAAGTAGAAAACCCTATACTTTGGGTTGCAGCTACTACTCTACTACTACTACTATTAATATTCTACCTTTAAGAGTGGGGAGGTGGGAGTAGAAGTTTGAGGAAGAGTTTAAATCATACAAATACATACAAATTAGAAAAATGACGTTAGTCAAGTCTGAGCTGGATTATTTGGGATTTTTTTTATTAAATGAAGAAGAAAAAAATTCTGTCATGTGAAGAATGGTTTGAAATATTATTTTAATATTTGCAAAGACTATGGACTTCCAAATACTGACTTTGGTAATATATAAAAGTCTAAAAGCTTTGAATACATTACTATAAAGTGAAATAATAGCATTTATTTGATTAAGCTGAAGTGAAATACAGAAATATGAAGTTTAGTTCTTCAGGATTTTATTTTATGAATCCCTTTGAATAAAAAAAAACATGTAGATAACTCTCACAACTACCAAAATGTTACATTTAATATAGGTGAGTAGTGGTATTGCACTAATTACATGATAATAAATAGAGAAGTATCAACTAGAAAAGCATCTCTTCTTTTAATTTGTCTTTTAAAAGATTTTCCACACTTTGAAGCACAATCATTTGGATTGTACCCCTGAGATTTGATTTACAGTTAATATAAGATTCTCTTGTGGCACCATTAATGTTATCCTTTGCTACAGGACACCTGAGTCTTCAATCAGGTCAGTTATCTCCTCTGCAGTTCAATGAAACGTGATTAAATCGACTTCTCTGGAAGAGTATCGCGCCTATTTTCAGGCCATAATCACTACCTAAGAGGGTGTGTGTGTGTGTGTGTGTGTGTGTGTGTGTGAGAGAGAGAGAGAGAGAGAGAGAGAGAGAGAGATCAACACCATAGACTTGGACATCTGTTCTTAGCAGTAAACTTCTCACAGGAAATGTTTCCATATTCGTACCAGTTTGGGATATTTAAAAGATAATAACTTACTTGTTAGAGAGAGAATGAGGAGCACAAGAGCAGTGCTGGTAGTCATCTCCTTTCCGCTTCACTACGCTAAGTTGCTTCTTTGTAATGCCTGTCCTCTAAAAAATGTTTTAAATCAAATAAAAAAAGACCAGAAATATCTTGAATGTCAAAAGTGACAATTTAGCCCAACCTCGCGGCTTTCCCTATTACTTTTGTCCACACAGGTGCTTCAGGTGTTTTCTCCTTTGCTGGAAAACACGCAGAAACTTTGGCTGTTATGGTTTAAAAAATATATATATCACGTGTAAAAAGTGTCTATTTGCCAAAGGCAACATGATGGTCCTTTACTTCACAGCATCCTGCGGGAGTTGGGCAGCCCATTTTGCGCAGCCGCCTCAGCAAGCAACTCTCGATCCAAATCCAGTAGACTAGTCCACGATGGTGTCCAAAAAAAATCCACATTAAACTTGTTTTCTTTTTTAACTTAATCACCAATATTTGCCTTAAGTTTCTTTTGATGAAGCGCCGATAACTTGAAATTGGCGCAGTTGATGAGACTAGCGCGCATGCAGGCGGGACGCTTGCGCTACATTGACTCCTCGGGGTTAAACCTTGCAGTCAAAGTCCACAAAAAAATCAAGAGCGTTTTTTCCATCAAACTTCGAGGAGAAGCTACGATGAAAAAGCAGGAGGTCGGGGCTCGGAGGGGGAGGTGCGTGTCTCTCTGCTTGTGTGCTCCTCGCGCCTCGGACCGGAGCAGATACACACGTCACGGCGTGGACTGTTGTGCATCTGCCAGTCTCATCTAGATGGGCTCTTTTTCAGCCAGTGGCGCTTCCACAGCCTACTTTTCACAACACTGTGACTAACTAAACTTAAAGCGTTTAAAACCGTAAATCACCGCAAAGTGGCGACTGTAGACCCCATGTTAAAGAATCAAAGATGCAAATTTAAATGAGAAAATGCCATTCAAGTCAGATGAGCTCTGTCATTGTTTTGTACTGGCACACAGTCAGAGTGTAGACTAAACTCACAACCTGATATAGGTCAGACTGATGGAAGAAGACAGTCTACATGTAACGAAGCTAGTGTTGCAGATAATCCAGCATTTAAGCTTCCTCTTTAGGTGGTCTGTAATGTATATAATAGTGTAGACATGGAGATCCTGGTCCTTTTAATCTAAGACAATATACATGTTAGGGTTTTATAACCATGATAATGTGTTACTAAAACGTGTCAGTATAGTCTGCAGCAGAAACACATTAGCGCTGCAAATTATTTCTCACTGCAGCTTTGACATATGGCTGTGTGAAGACTTTCTTATCGACTCATAAATTCAAGTTAACATTATTTTACTTTAATTTTGCCTGTCCAAAAGGGGTTACCATGAGTTACAATGTTCTGGTGTTAAACAGACCATAATCATTTGTTTGATGGATGAATGTGACATTTTTAAAAAATAATATGGGATATAATGAGGAGAGTAATATAACCTGATGATTCAAGCTGATTTTGTAACTCAAAGAGGAGATAAGCCATTCCAGCTGACAGCACACCAGTGTGACTACACCACATCTTGATTTCTGCTGTGACATTCAGATGATAGATCGAAAGAAACACGTGGAGTAAACAAGCATGTTCCCTCTGACAGTTTTGACAGGTAGGATGATGGAAACTCTAGGTCCCCTTGCCACATTTTCTAAATCTTATGTCAGGAACCTTGGGATAACTTTTGACTCAGCTCTCACATTGCATGATCACGTTAGACTTGTGATTCTTGCTTTTATAAGAAACATTATTAGTCATGCTTTTGCTTCATCATTTACTTTTCTTAACAAAACCTCTTTGGAGCATCTGCAAGATATTCATAACGATCCTGCAAGGTTTTTAAAAGTCTTCTACTCACATGTCACACTGTTGCTAATTTAGTTGCACTGGCTCCCCATTAACTTAAGGCTCTACTTTTAAGATTCTGGATTTGACTTTTCGAGCTCTGAATGGACAAGCACCAGCATACATCAGCAAGCTTTTACACTGATACATCCCCAGCAGGTCCTGAGGTCATGTGGTCAGGATCTGCTGGGCATCATACAAGGTTGAGAACTAAAGGAGACGGACCTTTTGCAACAGTGGTCGCCAGACTCTGGAATCCTCCCCGTCTTTTTAAAAAATTTGATATTCTAGCATTTTTGTTATGAAGCACTTTGTGATATTTCGATTGAAAGCTGCTAGATAAATACAATTGTGTTTAATTCTATCAATAATTCAGGCTGATGGTGAATGGTTATTTTTTTCCTTTGTTTGCTTGCTTGTTTTACTGTTGATAGTTTTGTTGCTTTGTACCTGTGTGCCACATTTAATTTAAGTTGACTTTTGGACTGACATTTTGAATTTAGACTTCTGCATTAGTAAAATAAAGACTGGTATTTCTGGTACTCTCACACTCAGGTTTTGCCGGAGGTTTCTTCCTGTTAAAAAGGATGTTTTTTTTCTTCCCACTATTTAAACAAGTGCTTGCTCAAATGGGAGCCCATGTCTGTGGTTAACCTTAATGTCTGACCTCAGATAATACTCACATGTTAGTTTAGTACACGTGAATGTATTTTTATTGTTCATGTATTGTTCATGTGGCTATCACAGTAAAAGAATAATCACGTTGCAGCAATATTTAAAACAATGAAAGCCCGGGGTGGGAAAACAATCATATGAAGAAGTCATTAACATTCTGCTCCTCCTTTAGAAATGTATGCTTGTGTCTCATAAATAAACCACTGCAGATTCAGTGATTAACAACGTTATGATTGTTAATCACTGACTTGTCGTGGCGATTCTGGTAGTTTTTTTCCTTTTTGTATCTTTTTATAATCTCGAATTTTCAGCTAAGTTTGATACAAAGCATATGATTTTCTGAGTCCATAGTCCTTCCCACAATCCAGAAATATTCACGTTAAAAATAAAATGGAGAGATTTATCCAAGGTCTATCATTGATGCAGTTAGCATGTGCATAAATCCATCACAGCACAGGCCATATAGCTAACACATTACTCCCTTACACGGCCCAGTGGAGATTTCAATCTGCTATAATGGAGGTGACTGTCTGCTTCAGTCAAGTTAACTGGCACAAGAGTGCCACGTTTTACAGCAATTCATAACATCCTTCCTCCCATGCTCTGCTGCTCCATCACTGCTTCTGTCTTACACAGGCAGATTTTAGGGTCATAAAAGTGCTAATAAGATATCTGAAAAAAATGATGTATTTACAGTAAAAGCACAATATTTATTAGAGGCAAAAATAAATCAAAATATTACACAAAGAATGAGTTACACTGTTAGTTTTACATTTTTATTCTTGGTTACTGTATGAGTGCACTGGGAAAGGATCTTCATATTCGTAAACAGACATCTGAGTGACGGCGAAGTTAGCCAGTGAAGAAACTAGTCAGACCATCAGTTTTAACCACTGATTAATAGGTTTATAATTATTTATTAACCAATAAGCTTTTTTCCTGTAATGACACCTTCTGGCCCATGTTAAATATCCCTTGGCGCCTCAGAACATATGAGACTCTAAACTGGACCAGTGATCAAAGGGAGCCTATATTGTGGTTATGATAACAAGAGAACAAGCAGAAAGGGGACTGTAAATACCTCCAGAGGTGTTTCCAAGTATATAACACTGACAAGATCCTAAAATAAAGTGGCTGTGGGAATGTGTTGTAGTACTATGAATGTTGTGTTCAGGAAAGAATCCATTTTCATAAAAGTGCGTCTGAGAGCCTTGGATGGAAGAGAAAAGTAGATTTGCTGAAATAACAATAATCAAACAAAGGTGAAAAGCCAATGAGTCTGGGACTGAGGTCTGAGGAAAGTAGGGTGTGGTTGTCTGGTTCACGGTCAAAACATTAGACCATTGTTTCTTGATGATTTTGTAATTTTTATGTCTACTAACACAAATGTTGTGTCTGAATATTACTGGACTGGTAGTTTTAGAGTTCAGTTCTCAATTGTGAGGAAGATGTTATTGGTGTCTTGCTGTTTTGTCACTAAATTTCTACATGGTGTCCAGATTCTTGATGTTTAAATCAATATTTTTAAAAAAGCAATAAAATAGAGAAATACTAATGTTATGTGAACATTTAAAAATCCAAAGAGACATGCATTATACATGCATTAATATGCTAATAATGCACAGCATGCTTAGACGTGATGGTATAAATTATGGGCAAGCACAACTATGAACACAATAAGAGTGAAAGCCCTGATATGTAACAAATATCACACAGCTTTGGTGTAAAGAAGGACATCAGATGCTTTTGTTTTTGTCCTTTTTAAATATGTGCTTACGTTAAACCTGATCCCACAAAATGTAATCAGCCCATTTGTATTTGATGAGATTTAAAGGCACATTCTTAAAATGTATCTATTTTCTTTACTGGCATGAAAGAGAAGGCGAAGAAGAAGAAGAAGATCCCAACAGTTCAAATATGAGAAAATAAACAAGAGGTTTGTTAAGCTATTTCATAAAACATCTATTAAAGATAAAAGAAAACATTCATCAAAAAAGAGAGTGTTGAAAATAGGCATACAAATTTGCATGCTTGTTTTGAGTGGGATATTTGTATTATTGATGTAATGAGCTACACCTGGGACTTAGGGGTAAATACCTATACATTTTAAATTATCTCACTTTAGTTGAAAGTAACTGTAAAAATAGAGAACCCAAATGATGTGTGCTCAAAGAAAACATCAAGCATTCTTTATTTGCCACATCAGCAAAACGTCATTATGCACCTTTGATAGAAACTTCCATAACCAGCCATTGTAAAACAGTAAGTTTAATGGAGTAAATGGACATCAAACTATAAAACTTTAATTGTAAGCTTTAGTTAGGCCCAATTTTTTTGTTTGTTTTGGAATATCTGTCATCATATGTGGAACTTTTTCTTAAAAAACAATACTTCTGTTTTCCTTAAAATAATTTGCATTGCCACACAATCTAAACCAGCGAACATCACACAGTATTTTCTAGGTGTGGCTCCAGTGTCCTGTTCGGAAGCTTGCAATTTTTACCACCACTAGATGGCAATAGAGACTCAATAGATACTACAAAAACATTTAACGTGGAAATCCTGTAGTGTAAAGGGAAATCGTGTCATGTGACAAATGAGTCAATAATAAACATTTATTTCTGAGTTTCCCATAACAACAGTGTTACCCATAACAAGTCTAATAATTTATATGGAGGCTCATGTTAAGATTAACCTGCTTTACTGTGCAGTCCATGCTGTGGTACAAGAAAGGTAGTAACTTCTACAGGTATACCACCAGAGATCACAGAGTGGACTTTCAGAGGCCATTAGATTAGAGATTTAAAATTATTGCAAGTTTGTTCCAAAAACACACAACCTGTTTGTTTTATTATCCGATTCATCATTATTATATCATTATTTGTTGACATATTATGACATTTCACACATTTGTTGTTCCAGATGGTTTGCAAGGGAAAAAACGTTTTTAAAAGTTATTTTAAAATTCATAAATGTCCTAATATATCAATGTAATCAGAGAACAATACTTTTGTTTTTTAAATTTTTATATAGATATTTATTGAGATCAGCTGAAAACTATAGTAAATCAAGACAACACCTTCTATAAGAAATAAATGCCAATATGCGCATATATCTATCTCTA